ATGTAATACTATCTATATTATATACTATATAATATATTTTTACCTAGGTATTTTAACTTATAATTAAAATAAATTTATATTATTTTGTTTATTATTTTATAATATATCTGTACATTTAATTTTCTCTGAACGTTAATTTTTCCAGATATATAGATAGCATTATTAAATTTGTCAGTAACTTTACTATGAAAAAAATCCCAAGTCAATGTTCTTAACCATGTCTAATGAAATATTTTGTGAAAATAGCACGAGCTAGCTAGTTTTCGGACTGGTAATTAAAAAATAGTCAGGGTTGCAAAGTTATTAAAAAATAGCCACTATTTTGCTGCAACACGGAAAGTTTCAACATAATATGCTAGAGATTGGTGCACCTGTGTATGAACTTCCAGCATATTATGCTGGAATTCCAACAGACGAAAAATTCTAGCATAATATATTGGAGATTGTAGCACCTATATATGAACTTCCAACATATTATGCTGGAACTCCAGTATATTATGCTGGAAGTTCACATATAAAAAATTTGAACTCCAGTATATTATACTGGAATATTTTTCGAATTTTGAACAATGTTTTCGTTCCGATTTATCTTTCCATGAAAAGTAGCTAAATTTCGATTACTTTTAAAACTACTGCTATTTTTCAATTACCACTTGTAAATCTGGGTATTTTTGAATTTCACCCAATATTTTTAATGAAAACTATAAAATCAAAGCTCACAGATTTATCAGCCAAACCATATTCTTTAATCCAATAAACAAGATACTCACATTTAGCACACTGACACATCAGACTAACACCTTCAAATAAATAATATTAACAAATTTTTTAAAACTTAATATTAAACATAAATATATTTGAATTTTTTAAAGAGTTTTACTGACTGTAGAAAACTATCGTTTGTTAAAGAAATTTGCTTTTATTATTCAAATAAATATATATTTGTTTCATTTTTATATTTTAAAATATGTTCATGTTTGAATATGATTAAACAATTTAGTGCTATGGGAAAAGTAAATGTACGGATATACTATAAAAATAATAAATAAAATAAAATAATGTTATTTAAATTATAAGTAAAATATCTAGGTAAAAACATATTTTATAGTATGTAATATATAAGATATTACATAAATGAGAGAATTTATAATGTCAAAGGCATGATAGAATTTTCGGGTGAAAGTATTGTAAAATCTTGTCAAAATGAATATTGTGACATTAGAGCAAAGTAAAATAATTTTTGTGTAACAAGAAAAGTGATTTTTTGGGTAATGAACACAAAATTGAATGGCGTTTGTATAATTAAAAAAAATTGGGTAATAAACACAAAATTGAATAACTACCCATAAAATTTACTTGAAGATTGATTTTTAATATAGTTTTAGGATCTATATTTTTTTGTCTTTGAGCAAAAAAAAAATTAATTACTTTGAACACCCCATATTCGAAGTCCACTAGTCTTACTAATACGAATTCTCACTAAAATACTTAACTAAGGAAGTAAAAATATTTTTTGTTTGGATGACGATTATCCATACAGATGGCCTATAATTAATCCCCTCAATATTTTTTGGGTCGAGCCAGTCGCACCCAATTAGAAACATGAGATAGTGGCAACAAGGAAATTGATCCTTGAAAATTAGGCTGAGGAGGACGTAAGAAATGATGTAGTCCAAGGAAGATTAGAATTTTAGAATGTCAAGTGCTAGCTATGAAGACGTGGGATTGGAAAGCTAAGGTACCACTAAAACCAAGCAAAGCAAGATGGAGAGGTCCCACTTAGGCGGTTTCTAGCATGTGAAACTCTAGAAGGTCCTCCATTTTTTATGTCTTTAAAATATTTTTCAACTTTGCAAGCTTATCAGCAATAGTGATATACACTAATAATATAAAAAAAATTATACAATTATTATGTTTTAATATGTGAATTAATGAATTAGTGACTATCTCTTTCTTGTAAAAATTATAAAATAAAGCTGGATACATAGATTCTTGTGATCCGACTTTTCCTAGCGAGAGCTTAGTGCACTGCGTGTGCTGCCTTTGTATCTTTATTATTAAATCACTAGTTAATGTTTACAAAGGGATTGTGTTAATATGTTTTTTTACCCCTTTAATGCACAAAACTTTAAACTCTTCTATATAATTATTCCTAAAGGATGAGATCATTCGGATGTCATATATACGAATAAAAAGGAATTCTCTACATCGCTAACCTTCCAATGATCATTTCTCCTTTCAACAAAAATGGATTCAAACGAGGCTAGATATCCCATTATATATTCACCGTATTCGATAAATCACAAGAGATGGCTTAACGTGATATATAAATCTTAGTTATTGTTGATTGACATGAATGTTTGAAGTCTTATAGCTTTTTATTTCCAAGACCATTAATTAGCTCCACCACATTAGGATTAGGGAGGGGAATTATTAGAGGAGGAGAATGGAGAAACTATCTCACCTCGCCTTAAGTCTCTAATTGCGTGAAGATTGAAGATAAGGTCTAGATGATGCAGAACATGGAGAATAGTAAAATACCACGTCTTGCACTGTTATGGACCTTATGGTTACAAAGCCCCACATATCCCTGAATTATTATGCTACCTGAATTATTATGCTTTCTTCTCACGTTAGAAGTTTGGACGAGATATCTTCAACCAAAAAATTTATTAAAAAAAACAAAACTATCTATTACATGGAGAAGGAAGGAGAAATAGAGGACATTGAGCATTAAAAATGTGGAAGATTTCTACATATTACTAAACTATATATCAGGCTTCGGCAATTGCTTATCATTCAAATTAGGTTCTTTAATTTTGTTACTTGTATATTTCACTTGATATAAGTTAATTTGGAGCAGTACTATAGTAATCAGTGAATAAGCAAAAAGAAATATCCAACCATCACCATCATCACGAACTAAGAAAGAATGGATATAAAGGTGGTGAAGAATCAAACACAGTGCTATGTTCACATTCTCAGTATATGAACAATTATATGTTATTTATCGTTGGTTAACTAAATTTGATGGTATAAAAATTTATATACTGTTAGTTCGAAAAACTAAAACATAGAAAAAAGAGGTACTCCTATTACATTGAGCTGGAGACAAACATTGAAAAATAATTATGCAATGCGGTTGCGGATAATTAGAGTCGGAAATAGTGGGCTAAGCATCCAAATCCAGTGATATTAAAGTCGATTCAAAATGCTCAACTTGTATTGGTGGAGTAATCGTATCATTCCAGTTATTACTATTTTATTTCTCATAATGGAAAACTTCCACTCATATCACTGCTTAAATCGATCGGATTAACCTAGTTAATGTATTGCTTAATCCCACATTGTGAATCTAGCTAATTATTGCCTGATCTCCTTTATGGGCACGTTGGATCGCCCTCTTAATTATTGTTGATTCATGGCTTTAATAAAACACGTACCAGCTTTCACTGGAGATAGACAACAACTTAACCAAAGTTATGACTAATACACCTGCAAGCATCTTGCAAAACATAAAGGGAGGGGTTAAAGAACTGTAATAAGTCCGCACTCTTTTAAGGAATTTCTTTCAAAGTACTCTGATCGGATAAATATTTTAATATGCTAATATTAAAAAATATTATATATACGCCATTAGGTCACCTAAAAATTATAATTTTAGGTGACTATTCATATTAAGTGAAAAATAGCAACCGGAAAAATGAGGTGGGTAACTAGCAACAACTATTCGTAAATACATATCATGTATCTATTATCACCGAGGGGTGTGCTGGGCCTCACCCTTGGAGCTGCCTGACCTGGTGACATCCCAGGGAAGAGAATTATTATTGTATAACCAAAGTTCTCGAGTTCAAGCACGCTATAATTGGTTTGTCTGTTGCAAATCTGAATTAGTCGGACCAGTCATGAGCTTCGAATATCGCATGACTGAACAAAAAAATATTATGCATTGATTTAGTGTAAATATTAGGCGAGGGTATATTTTACTGCAAGTGCATATAAGTTAAATTCATTAAAGCTCAAAAATTAGCAAGCACCGTTTGGATAAGATCTCTACTCTTAATCGGCCTAATTCAATGGAGTCCGAAACTGAAATAATGTCATTTTTTGTACAAAATACGTTTCTACTGTTAAAAAAAAGTTATATTTCTACATAAAACGCAGTATAATATTGCGTTTTACTTTAACGGAAAGTTAGCCGTTAAAGTTAAACGCAGTATTATACTGCGTTTCATTAAAAAATTAATTTTTTATAGGAAATAGTGTCAGTGTCTGCTAATTCCTATAATCTTCTGAGGCCCATATTCTTCGAACGATTTTTGACAGACCATATGTGGGCAAAACGCAGTATAATACTGCGTTATTCCGTTCTACTTTAGCACCCTATATTTTATTATAGGGAAACGCAGTACAATACTGCGTTTAAGGAAAACGCATTATTGTAAAGCGTTTTTCTATAAAAAAAATAATTTTTGAATAAAACGCAGTATTATACTGCGTTTTATGTAGAAATGTAACTTCTTCTTTTTTAACAGTAGAAACGTAGTTTGTACAAAAAATTGCATTATTTCGATTTCGGACTCTAATTCAATGACGCATCACATTTTTCCAATTCAAATTAGAGAACGTGACACAAAATAAAGCATATTAAACATAAAGAACCGTATCGATTAAGTGGAACTAAAATATATAATTAGAGTCTGGGGGGAATTCATGAAACTGAGTCGGACTTCCAACTATATATATAAAAAATAAAGAATTACGAGAAGTAGAGTGTTAAGAAATATTATTCTGTATACTTACCGAATATGGGAGACAGCACAAGCACACTAGCTGGTCTACTTGGAGTAGAGATTGAATTAAAATGAAATGATGTCAATTCTTTGAGGATGTTAGTGAAGTGGACCACTTAATTTGTAGGGACAAAAAGAGTTTCCTTTTGTTCTTTTGCATGTGATTTGTACATATAGACGCGTTTCTACATCTATAAATAGCCTCCGATCCTTGCATTCTGTCACAAGTCGATTTTGTGGCATTCAACTACATCGCAATGGCGAAGCTTAAAGTTGTTAACATTGTTTTCTTTCTGTTATTGGGTATAGGAATATGTTCAGCTGCTAGAACACTCCTCACTTATGATCATGTAGGTGTTGGAGGTGAGGTAGGCGCCTATGGTGCAGGCCATGGCATTGGTGGCGGCGCTGGGNGATTTTGTAGCATTCAACTACATTGCAATGGCGAAGCTTAAAGTTGTTAACATTGTTTTCTTTCTGTTGTTGGGTATAGGAATATGTTCAGCTGCTAGAACACTCCTCACTTATGATCATGTAGGTGTTGGGGGTGAGGTAGGCGCCTATGGTGCAGGCCATGGCATTGGTGGTGGTGTTGCTGCTGGAGGCTATGCTGGTGGTGGTGGAGGAGGTTCCGGTGGAGGTGGTGGATATGGAGCTGCAGGTGACCATGGTTATGCCAGTGGAGGTGGTAGTGGAGGCGGAGACGGTGGTGGTTCTGGCTATGCCGCTGGAGGAGAGCATGATGCTGGTTATGCTGGAGGAGGTGGTGGTGGAAGCGGGGCAGGAGGTGGCTATGCTGGACATGCAAGTGCTGGTGGTGAAGGTGGTGGTAGCGGATATGGTGCTGGAGGAGCACCGGGTGGTGGTTATGGTGCTGGAGGTGGTGGAGGTAGTGGTGGCGGTGGAGCAGCTGCAGGTGGAGCACATGGTGGTGGATATGCTGAAGGCGCAGGAGGAGGCAGTGGTGGCGGCTATGGTGCTGGTGGGGCACCAGGAGGTGGATATGGTGGTGGAGGTGGGCATGCAGGTGGTGGCGGTGGTGCTTATGCTGGAGGAGCAGCAGCTGGTGGATACGGTAGTGGAGGAGGAGCCGGTGGTGGTGCAGGAGGAGCATATGGAGGCGGTGGTGGCGGTAGTGGTGCCGGTGGAGGTGGAGCCTACGCTGGAGGAGGTGAGCATGCTGGTGGATATGGAGGAGGTGCTGGAGGTGGTGAAGGTGGTGGACACGGTGGTGGCTACGCCCCTTGATTGCTCATTCTAATCACCATTTGAAATCTAAAAATTTCCCTATTCTTGCCTACACTACTAAAAAATAATGCAATCAAACTGTGGTGGGAAGATGATATATCGTGAAGGCAAAAGAATTGCAGCAAAGAAATGCTGCACCTTAAGTGTATTATCGTTTTCTTTAATAGCAAATTAAGGTATGATGCTTGCATTTTAAGTATTAATTAAAGTGGTCAGCAAATTTCTGTACTCTATATGTTGCATGCATGCAATAATAGGCAATATTGGTTTGGGCACATTCGTAAACCTTTGCAAGGACGATCACAAGGGAATTGATCATAATACATACAAGGAAATAAAAGAACTAGCTAGATTGACAAGAAAAGATATTAAATAGAACGTACGATTGAACAAGGGAAATCTTTGCTGCCCTCAGTGTTAAGAAACCAAAAATGGACAGACCTTGTACTGTCAATATACTCATATAATACGATGGCTCACTTATCACAAAAAATCTGAAAACTTTAAAAATTCGGCAGCTACTGCAAGATTGGAAAATTAATTTATGGGGTATAGCTTATTTAGGGCAGAACTGATATATGAAAAAAGAAAAAGAAATAAAGAACTCATCTACATCAGGTGGTTGCAATTGGAGATGAGACAGTCATGTGATAAGAGAAACAAAGTAATGCCCGAGTGGAAGGCAAAATAAAATATCTTAGTAGCTTGTATCAACAGTTAATTTGTATTTGTACTACAAATGAACTATGTGAAAGTTTCAGTTAATGGATGAGAACAAGAAATGTGTCGCATGTATATATAAAATACAAACAACAGAGAAATTGAACAATTGGACTCCCTCATAGTGCCAAATTTGCTTAATTACACAGCAGTTAATTGCAAACTCAAAGCATTTATAGAGGACACCGGCCGCATAGATTTTAATCTCCAAGCAAAATTTTGAGGTAAATCACTGATCGATTTAGATAAGCAAATCAAGTGACGGATGGTTTAGCTAAACATGGTTCCTGGCTTCCTGCCTTCAAGATTCCTCTATCCTGTTTGATTATCAGGATATCCCTATTATAGGATCTTATCAGTTGGATAAGTAGCAACTTATATCGCTGTTCTCCAAATTAAACCGAGTCAAGCTAATCTACTTGATTATTGCCTGATCTCGTATATGGGCACATTGGTTCGCCCTCTTAATTATTGCTCATTCATGACTTTAATAAAATATGTACTAGCTTTCACTGGAGATGGACAATAAATTAACCAAAGTTATATATGAATAATACACCTGCAAGCATCTTGCAAAACATAAAGGGAGGGGGTTAAAGAATTGTAAAAAGTCCCCGCTCTTTTAATTAAGAAATTTCTTTTAAAGTAGTCTGATTAGATAAACTATTTTAAATTTTACGCTAACAATGACCTGAAAAATAATTATAGGTGACTATTCACATTAAGTGGAAAATAGCAACCTGAAAAATAAGGTAGGTAACTTGCAACATTTATTCGCAAACACATATTATGTATCTATTACCATCAGAGGTTGTGGTGGGTTTCACCCTTGGAGCTACCTAACTTGCTCACATCCCAACGAAGAGAACCGTTATTGCATTACCAAAGGTCTCAAGTTCAAGCACCCCATAGTGGGTCTGCCGTCGCAAATCTGAATTAGTAGGATCAGTCAGCTTCGAGTATCGAATGATTGAACAAATAATGTATCTACATCAATTGATTTAGCGTAAATATTAGGAAATATACATTTACCGCAAATGCATATAAGTTAAATTCATAAAAGCTCAACAATTAGCAAGCCCCGGTAATTCAATGACGCATCACATTTTTCCAATTCAAAATTAGAGAACGTGACACTAAATAAAGTATATTAAACATAAAGAACCGTATCGATTAAGTGGAACTAAAATATATAATTAGTATCATGAAACTGAGTCGGACTTCCAACTACAAGATATATCAAAAATAAAGAATTAAGAAAAGTATGGTATTAAGAAATATTTATACTGTATACTTAACGAATATGGGAGACAGCACAAGCACACTAGCTGGTCTACTTGGAGTAGAGATTGAATTAAAATGAAATGATGTCAAATCTGTGAGGATGTTAGTGAAGTGGACCACTTAAATTGTAGGGACAAAAGGAGTTGCCTTTTGTTCTTTTGCATGTGATTTGTGCATATAGACGCGTTTCTACATCTATAAATAGCCTCCGATTCTTGCATTCTATCCCAAGTCGATTTTGTGGCATTCAACTACACTGCAATGGCGAAGCTTAAAGTTACTAACATTGTTTTCTTTCTGTTATTGGGCATAGGAATATGTTCAGCTGCTAGAACCCTCCTCACTTATGATCATGTAGGTGTTGGGGCTGAGGTAGGCGCCTATGGTGCAGGCCATGGCATTGGTGGTGGCGCTGGTGGTGGTGTTGCTGGTGGAGGCTATGCTGGTGGTGGTGGAGGAGGTTCCGGTGGAGGTGGTGGATATGGAGCTGCAGGTGACCATGGTTATGCCAGCGGAGGTGGCAGTGGAGGCGGAGCCGGTGGTGGTTCTGGCTATGCAGCTGGAGGAGAGCATGGTGCTGGATATGCTGGAGGAGGTGGTGGTGGAAGTGGAGCAGGAGGTGGCTATGCTGGTGGAGGACACGATGCTGGACATGCAAGTGGTGGTGGTGAAGGTGGTGGTAGCGGATATGGTGCTGGAGGAGCACCTGGTGGTGGTTATGGTGCTGGAGGTGGTGGAGGCAGTGGTGGCGGCGGAGCAGCTGCAGGTGGAGCACATGGTGGTGGATATGCTGAAGGCGCAGGAGGAGGCAGTGGTGGCGGCTATGGTGCTGGTGGGGCACCAGGAGGTGGATATGGTGGTGGAGGTGGGCATGCAGGTGGTGGCGGTGGTGCTTATGCTGGAGGAGCAGCAGCTGGTGGATACGGTAGTGGAGGAGGAGCCGGTGGTGGTGCAGGAGGAGCATATGGAGGCGGTGGTGGCGGTAGTGGTGCCGGTGGAGGTGGAGCCTACGCTGGAGGAGGTGAGCATGCTGGTGGATATGGAGGAGGTGCTGGAGGTGGTGAAGGTGGTGGACACGGTGGTGGCTACGCCCCTTGATTGCTCATTCTAATCACCAATTGAAATCTAAAAATTTCCCTATTCATGCCTACACTACTAAAAAATAATGTAATCAAATTGTGGTGGGAAGATGATATATCGCGAAGGCAAAAGAAATGCAGCAAGGAAAGGCTGCATCTTAAGTGTATTATCGTTTCCTTTGATAGCAAAATTAAGGTATATATGATGCTTGCATTTTAAGTATTAAAGTGCTTTGCAAATTTCAGTACTCTATAAGTTGTATGCATGCATGCATACAATAATAAGCAATACTGGTTTGGACATCGTAAATACATACAAAAAAAACAAAAGAACTAGATTGTCAGGAAAAATTATTAAATAGAACGACTGAACAAGGGAAATCTTTGCTGCCTCAGTGTTAAGAAACCAAAAATGGACAGACCATGTACTGTCAATATACTCATATAATATGATGGCATCACTAATAAAAATCTGAAAACTTTAACGAAATCGGCAGCGCTGCAAGATAGGCAAATTAATTTATGGGGCATATATATATATATATATATATAGCTTATTTAAGTACGAGTCTCTCTTCTTAATGTCCAAAAAACGTCGTATCGTAAGTAATGTTGATTGCAGGAACAAGGGGAATTCTTTGTACCCAGACAATGGACAGCAGAAACGATATATGAAAAAAGAAAAAAGAAAAAAAAAAAAGAACTCATCTACATCAGGTGGACGTTGCACTTGGAGATGAGACAGTCATGTAGTAAGATCGAGAAACAAAGTAATGCCCGAGTGGAAGGCAAAATAAAATATCTTAGCTTGTATCAACAGTTATTTAATTTGTATTTGTACTACAAATGAGCTTAGGGCTTGGCATATATCCGGTAAAACTGATAACCCGTACCGTTAATTATTTATTGAGTTATCGGTATCGGATTATTGGATTAACGATTCGGTAACGGTTTAGAATTTTTTCACTATTGGGTTATCGGTTCGGCCTCGGTTTACCAATTTTGCTAATGGGTTAACCGATAACCCAATAAGAATTAATAAAAATACGACTTTACCCTTAAGTATATACATATGCTAGGGCTTCAGTTCATTCTCTTGTATTCTTTCTCAGTTGCACTCTTCAATTGTTTTATCTTTATTCTTTATAGACCTTACTAGTTACTTCTAGCATAAGTCTTTAGTCTTATACATTAGGCTTTTAATTTCTATAATAAAATTCATCTTCATATTGGTATTTTTGACTGTTAATGATTCTTTATTTTTTTATTTTCGTTTCTTAATTTTGTGAGCTCACGTTGTGCAGCCTATACCTACTACCAATTTCTCTTCGCACTTATCAATTCTAAATCGACAATCTTTGTCAGTTTCGGTTATATTTTTGAACATTATTCTTCTGTACAGTACGTTGAGCTTTGACAACAGGATAACATTTTCTTGCCTTCTAGATGTTTTTCATTTCTGTGTTAGTATTGCCCATGCACAAATCAAGGTTTTGCTCTATAGTTTCTTTTTTCAGGTTAGGCATTTGACAAACAACATCCAGTTTATCTTGGACTGTTAGTACTATATGTTTGGACTTGTTAATTTTAAGGTGAAATTACTATTTGGACAACTATTGTTGAAGAATTAATATTATTCTAGTTGTGGCTACTGAACAGAACGCATAAATGGGTAGTATATTATATGTGAATTCTTCTCTTTTTTGCTTAACTCCAGTAAATTATCTTCTCTTTTTTGCTTAACTCTAGATTGAGTTATCTTATCAGGTAAACCGATAACCGAACCAATTGTGATCAATAACCGATAACTGATATCTTATCGGTTTGGTTATCGGTTTATCAAATTTATAAACCAATAACCGATATGCTAAATCGATAAGATTCAGAACCGAACCGACCGATGTCCACCCCTAAATGAGCTATGTGAAGGTTTCAGTTAATGGATGACGATTACAAGAAATGTATCACATGTATATATAAAATACAAACAACACAAAAATTGATCAATTGGACTCCCTCATAGCGGCAAATATGCTTAATTACACAGCAGTTAATTGCAAACTCAAAGCATTTATAGAGGACACCGCAAAGATTTTAATCTCCAAGCAAAATTTTGAGGTAAATCAGTGATTTAGAGAAGCAAATCAAGTGCCCGATGGTTTAGCGAAACATATAGTTCCTGCCTTCAAGATGCCTTTATCCTGTTTGATTATCAGGATATCCCTATTATGGGACCTTATTGTAAGAAAAATGAGTAAATAATATTGACTAAGAACACTGCCTTGAAAGTGATTTTGGCCCGATTGGATGCAATTCGTTAAGATCGGTCGCTCCCCAGAGTTCTACAGCACCTCCAAACACGTGCACTCATGACTGGAAGTTTAGAATTTGCACAAAGCAGTTGCCCAGAAAGAAGAGAAGATGAAGGTATTTTTTGTAGCTGTTACAGAAAATTAAAATGTTGTAGGAAGAAAATAATGATTAGCAAGATGAATTATTGGTTAAGAATTGAGTGAATATAATGACTAATGATCATCCTATTTATAGGCAATTAGGGAGGTTGCATGTATGACAAGTGTGGAGAGTCTTTTAACACTTGTCCAAATATATTAGTCCACTTGGCTTCAATATTAACAAGTGTACTTAGTCTTCCATGCATGAAGACACATGATAGATTTGCATAGCCATTTGTCAAAGCTATTCAACACTTGGCTTTAAGGCTTCATGCAAGAAGCCACTTAGAAATAGATAGAACACTTGAAAAATAAAAAGACTCATGGCTATTGGTTGTAAATGGATTTTCAAAAAGAAATTTTTGACTTTGCATTATAAATAATACCAACAGTCCCCCACTAATGCAAAGACAAACATAAAATAATTCTGGGCAAAAGAAAGAACATGTACTTAAGTGTCAATATCTTTCGATTTGAATAAACACGTAGTGAAATGAGGCAACAACTAACATCCACAAAGTGAAGTACTCTTGAACTTAATGGAATTAGTTGAGACCCCCACAACATATACTATATCCTTAATTTTATGCAAACTTCGCGATACTAACAAAGTGCTTTAATGGCCATGCACATACCTTGGGTCTCAGGAGTGCTCTAGAAAGACATTTCAAGTCTTTCATAAAGGGCGACCGTACCTTTACACTCACATAGGTGATTCCATCAAGTCTATCTACACATAGACTGCCTTAAGGCTATGGAATCATTAAGAGCAAAGTAAGTTCAACCTTATAAAGTACTACCATACGCCAGAAGGATAGGAAATGTAGTGCATATTGAGGTCTCATATGGCTTTGTTTGACCACAAACAGTATCCGTCATATTTCCTCAATCCATGGGCTTTAGCCCCGTCCCCCTCGACGTTTCAAGGATAACTCTCCTTGCCAAACCCTTTGTTAAAGGATCCGCCAAATTTCTTTCGGATCTTACATATTCTAAGGAAATAACACCATGTTTCAACAACTATTTTACCGCGCCATGCCTAATGCGGATATGTCTTTTTTTTTCCATTGTACACACTATTTTTGGCAATTCCAATTGTCGCCTGTGAATCACAATGTAAAGAAACTGGTGAATCTTGTCTTCCCCACAAAGGCACGTCTGCCAATAAGTTTCTCAACCACTCGGCTTCTTACCCTGCCAACTCAAGAGCAATGAATTCAGACTCCATAGTAGATCGTGTTATACAAGTCTGTTTTGAAGACTTCCATGAAATAGCACCTGCACCCAAAGTAAACATATAGCCACTAGTAGAGCTAACTTCATCATTGTCAGTAACCCAGTTTGCATCACAAAATTCTTCTAAAACAGCATGAAATTTATTAAAATGCAAACACCAATCCATAGTACCTCTCAAATACCTTAGCAAACGATGAAGAACAATCCAGTATTCACTACTAGAGTTGTGAGTATATCTACTCAATCTACTAACAGCAAAAGCAATATCAGGTCGTGTATAATTCATGAGAAACATTATACTACCAATTATCTTAGCATACTCAGTTTGAGAAATACTAGATTTCTTATTCTTTTTCAGGTGTATGCTAGGATCATAAGGAGTTCTCACAGGTGCTACATCAAAACAATTGAACCTTTTCAACATTTTCTCAACATAATGAGACTGAGACAATGAAAAACCATAAGAGGTTCTTTTGATTTTAACCCCTAAAATCACATCTGCTTCTCCAAGATCTTTCATTTCAAATTTAGAAGACAAAAAATTCTTAGTCTTATTAATGACATTCACATTAGGGCCAAAGATTAATATGTCATCCACATACAAACATATAATAACACAATCTGATCCTATCATCTTGGAATAAACACAAGTATCAGATACATTAACAACAAAACCATTAACCACTAATGTGCTATTAAACTTTTTGTATCATTGCTTAGGTGTCTGCTTTAGACCATACAAAGACTTTCTCAATTTGCATACTTTATTCTCTTGGATCACAAATCCCTCAGGTTGAGACATTTAGATCTCTTCCTTTAAATCACCATTTAGGAAAGCTGTTTTAACATTCACTTGATGTATCACTAAATTATTAATAATGGCTAAAGCAATAAGAGTTCTTATAGTTTCTATCTTAGTCACAGGAGAATAAGTATCAAAGTAATCAATGTCTTTCTTTTGGTTAAAACCTCTAATAATAAGTATGGCCTTATATTTCTCAATTGTACCATCAGGTCTCAATTTTTTCTTAAATATCCACTTGCTACTTATGGTTTACAACCTTTAGGCAAATCAGACAAGTCTCTTGTGTGATTAGAAACTATAGAGTCTAATTCACTTTTAATGGCTTCTTTC